ATAACAACAATAATAATGTTAATAATAATAATCGCTCTCCAAAATCAAACGATGATGATTTGGTCCCTCAACCCGCGGCTGTTTGTGGGCTACGCTGTCGTGCGCAATCGGCTGCTGCGTTTCGCCCACAAAATATACAGTTAACCCCTTGACAGTGTGTCCTGTGAAGCGCTTTGAGACGTCTGGAAGACGTGATCAGGCGCCGGGTCGAATGCCGGGATTATTATTATTATTAAAGCGAATTGACTGTACGTTACGTGGGTGAGACACGGCAGCCGATTGCATACAGCAACGTCCCCACACACAGTTGTGCATCGAGTGACCAAATTGTTTCTTGTTCGTTCGTTCGTTGTTTGTTTGTTTGTTTATTTGACCAGGAAATAAGTGATAATTATTGGTCTGTCGTACCATCCAGGAGCCAGGAGAGGGCTCAGTTGCCGTCAGGTGAGAATATGTGGGTTGAACCCACCACTGAGTTGGCAATGCTCCAGGAACTTCCATGTGTCGATGGTTTGGAGACTCTTAGAGCACCGTTGATGGGTTTCCGCGCGTGTCAGACACCCACACGGCTGACAAACATAAACACTGGGGCCCGTGTTGTTGGCACATTAAAACCGCGGTTCCTTCTGGTTCCTGTTCGGAGTGAAGTTCAAGATCGCCCAGTGCCTCAGGGTAAAGAGGAGGGAGTTGGTCTCCCTGTGTCCTGGCCAACACGGCTGACTCACACCCACACATGTAGGAGGTGTGACCCATGATTGAGTCACACGGCAAACATGGGTGACTGGAATCTACCTCTCTCTCTCCCCACCCCCCCCTCCCCTCTCTCCCCCTCGCTCTGTGTCTCTCTCCGTCTGTCACCCACTCTGTATGTGAGTTTGTATCTCTCTCTCTCTCTATATATATATATAAAGTGCTCTGAGATGCTCCACTGGGTGGAGGGCAATATATAAGTGCAAGTTGTTGTTGTAATGTCTTTCTGTCCGTCTTTCTGTTGTCTCTGTCGCTGTCTCTCTCGCACACATACTTGGTCTCTGTCTCTCACTCTCTGTCTCACATTCGCTCTCCGTCTCCCTCTCACACTCGGTCGCTCTCCTCGTACTTTCTATATCAAATGCAAGGATTATTATTATTATAATCAAACCCCTCAAAGAGCAGAAAGACTGTCTGATCGAGTCGGAGCGCTGCTCAGCACACGGACTCACATCCTCTGTCCTGAACTCGTGTTCAGCTGGAAGGAAACTGCCGACTCTCTGGTGGTGTGTAAAGCCCTGGTTTGCTGCCGACACTGAGTGTGACTCAGAGCTTCCTGTGGCAACTGAGCTCTTAATCACAGTTCGGAGAGGGTTTGCAGCCCCCGAGGTCACGCCCTGACCCGGGCTCAGCACATCGGTGGGCATTTCGCCCACAAATATGCAGTCAATTCACTTTACAGTGTCTTCTGTGAAGCGCTTTGAGAACTCTTATGTCAAAGGGCAACAATTGCTACCATTATTATCACTTTGTTTTATCATCTTTCTGTGTTATATCGTGGAGTCGTGTCATGTAATGGTGACAGCCCTCATCCCGCAAGTCAACGAGGGAACCGGGTTCAATCCCCGGACCGGGCAGGTCGGGGCGAAACCTTAGGCAAGTTTCCTTACTACACACAGACACACACAGACACAGACACACACACAGACACACACACACAGACACACACACACAGACACACACACACATACAGACACACACACACACACACACACAGACACACACACTCACGCCTGTTTACCAGCAGTCCGGTTGTTAATCGCGGAGTCCTGCAGCTCAGCGGTTAGCGCACTCGCCTCGCAAGCGAGAGACCCGGGTTTGATTCCAGGGCCGGTCGGGGCCAAACCTCGGCCAAGTTTCCTGACTCCATACACCAAAAAAACAAAACAGTAATAGATTAGTGATTCTCAATCCGCGGCTGTTTGCGGGGATGTCGCTGGGGGGCGATTGGCTGCCGGGTTTGGCCCCCAAAATAATAATTCACTTTACGGTGTCTCCTGTGAAGCGCTTTGCCTCGAGACAGCGCTACATCGAATATTATGGGCCTGTCACCCCTTCCCCCCCCCCCCCCCATACCACCCTGTTCACTATTGGGCCTTCAGCCTCTCTGACACCCCCCCCCACCCCCTCGCTCCCTCCCGGGCCTCCTTCTAGACCCGTCTCAACACCTTTCCTCTCGGGGTGTCACACGTGACGGCGCGTGTGTTGGTGCCTATTGTTTCTGCTGCACTGGAAATGGCCTCTGGTCTATAAATAGTGCCGTCACCGCCAGTGGGACTGACCCCAAACCAGGTTTGCAGCCAATGTGTCGGGACTCATCCCTTCCCTCTCCCACGTCCAACACACACTCACTCACTCGCCCGCGCACACACACACACGCACTCGCGCACACACACTCGCCCGCGCACACACTCACTCGCCCGCGCACACACACACGCACTCACTCGCGCACACTCACTCGCCCGCGCACACACACACACGCACTCACTCGTCCGCGCAGACACACACACACTCACTCGCCCGCGCACACACACTCGCCCGCGCACACACACGTGAGAATAATCCTCGCACTCACCAGATATATAACAGATGTTGATTCGCACATCCATTCACTCCCAAGGGTGGGGTTGGGGTTTGGGGGTGAGGGTTGGGGTGGGGGTTGGGGGGGTTGGGGTTGGGGTGAGGGTTGGGGGGGTGGGTTGGGGGGTTGGTGGGGTTGGGGTGAGGGGTGGGGTTGGGGGTGAGGGTG